ATCATTTGCTTTGTCATCACTTGTGACATTGAATCAGTTCCTATTAGTTAATTTTCATTTAAGTAAAACATTAGATTGAGATATTTTGGGCTAGGAGAGTGGGAGTTCTGAAGGCTACTAAAGTAAATAAGTTTTTGAAGCATTTATTGGGAGTTAGATTAGAAACCTTTTTCATGTAATTCTTTCAATAGTACAATTATAAATTTCAACCTCTAATTGATAAAAGGTCAGAAGTTCTATATTTCTGCAACTTAACTTGATTTTAATTTTGTTCCAGATAATTAGATATGATTTTCATAGAATAATCAGTAAAATCTAATCAAAAGGTATTTTAATTTTTGATTCTTAAGTATTATTGAACTACAGATCTTGTAATTGCAACCTGAGAGCATTACTACTATATTATTGATTCACAAATCTTTTTTTATTAATTTTTTTATTTTTTATTAAAATTAATAAAAAATATATAATATATAAATTTATAGTTAACTAAAAAAACTCTTTTTGTTAATCCTCTGATCACACACAAAAAAGATGTTCACAAGAAGTTTTTTTACTTTTTTGCTAATAAAGTCTTAATACTTTCATTAAAACAATTTGGAGTATGACTCCAAAAATCGCTTCTATACTTTTTCTCATATTTACAAACCTTTTCACTCAAAAATTGGACTTCTAATGATCAATAAAAGTCAAGTAATATCTTTGATACTAATGGCAAAAAGTTTCCAAAGGAAGAAAAACTAATTGTGAAATACCTGAAGGCCTTTCTAATCTTTGAAGTGAGAGATGTATAGAGGTTTTTTATAGTAAAAAGATTTATTTGATATTTTTAAAAAAAGTTTTATTTAATTAAATAAGTTTTTAAAATAAATAGTTATATAATATTAAAAGATAAGCAAAGAATAATATAATTATTGATTTATATTTTTTATTAAATTTTTTAAATAAAAAATTAAAACCTTTTTGCTTCAATTTTAATTAGATAAGTTTTAAAAATAATTTTTAAATCCTAATTAGACAAATTTTTTTGTAATATTATATTAGTTTTAAATATATAATAAATAAATTTATTATTAGTAGATGAATAAATTTTTATATATTTTTAAAGAAATCTTTATTAAGGATAAATAAGTTTTTTAAATAGTTTGAAACAAAAAGAATATTTTAATCTAATAAATCTTTTTTGGAAAAAAATTATTAACTTAAAAAAACGTTTTAAATTGCTTTATTTTTATATTTTATATTTTTTAGTTCAACAATTTATTGTTTTTGAAACAATTAACAATAATAAATTATTAATAATAATTTTGTAAATTAAGGAATATATATTGATTTATCAAAAAAAATATACAACAATATAATTTTTTTAAATTTAACTTAGAGTATCTAGTTAAGATTTAGTTAAATTAGTTTAGTAAACTTCTCTTATTTTTAGGTAATATAATATGTAAAGATTAATTAGACATTATAAGAATAGTCAATATAACTTTGATATTATAATAATATATATTGAAAATCAAAAAAAAATTTTTTTAAATATAATAAAATAAAATTTTTCTGACTTACAGTAAATTAAATTATTTACACTATTTAGTAATAATTTAAATATTATAAAAAATTAAATATATAATTACTTGTATTATAATTTTAATTTATACATTATATTATTAATAATAAATTAATTAGGTGGACCTAAACTTTTGGTCACATGTAAAAATTTTTTTATAACTTCCCACCATAAGAGAAGGCATATTCTTATACATTAGCATACAATATACTGCATATATGTGGTCAATAAGTAGTTAAACAGTTTGAAGTGGTCATTAATAATAGCATTTTTTCATGAATAGACTTTGAGCCTGCGCGTAAGTTTAATCATTCAATCATAGCGAAAAATTAACCTTTAACACTCAAGAATTGTTTTAGGAAAATGGTTCAATTTCAAGTGTTACGAAGTAATTATTTATTTGTTCCTTAGGCATTCGAATTACACAATATAAGGTATTTATTTATGTGCTAGTAATGTAAAAAGGTATTTTCGTTAAGAATCGTTTATGTCACGTGAAATTCATGCGGTTCTATCTATGATCCATGCGAGTTAATATACGATATTGCTCAGCTGTTCCCTTTATAAATTGGCGAATGTTACATAACTATCGCACTAGTCTCGGTTTCTTCTTGTCAATCATGAATTTACCCTTTTCTCGTGTAGATTCCTGCAGGATTCGTAATACAGGAGGGAAGGATGAACGAACATTCTTCCAAAATAATATCAGTGCGATTTTTTTTTTTCAAGAAAAATTTAAAATTAACCGGCGTATCGTGGATTTGACCTTCTTCCAAAAGATTGTTTGAGCAGAAAATTTTATTTCGTGCATTCGATATGGTCGCCGCAACCGATGGAAAGCATAAAAAACGTGATCCAAATCCAACGACTACTGAATTTGAATTCCTCGGTCCAGTCGGTGCATTACTTATGGTTACGGTTCTTCCGATTGTTTTATATGTCTTATTCTTGGGATGTCAAACAGATGGCTGTCCTTCTCCGAGACTCTTATCGCTTCTTACAAATCCCACGAACATCATCCCTTTACTCACCTCTTCCAACCTTTTGTCCATCTTTGATCTTGAAGCATTTACCGTATATCTTTCTTACTTGGCATACCTAATATTGGCATTTCATGTGGTGCCAGGCCGATTTATCGAGGGAACTCAACTTCGTGACGGTACTAGATTAAAATATAAGGAGAATGGGTTCAGTTGTATGTTATTAACTTTATCCATAGTCGAAATCATATCATTATTATATGGATCGGACCCACTACTATTTATAAGTGATCATTTTATTGGATTGGTCACCGCTTCGATTGTAGTGTCAATAGCACTCTCGTTTTATGTTTATTTTGAGTCTTTTCGGGAGGATAGACTGTTGTCTCTTGGGGGGAACTCTGGAATATTTATTTACGACGTAGGTAATCGCTTATGCGGTTATTCAATTAACTAAAAAAATATGCATACTAATATTAAATTTATTCGCTTTCAAAGTTTATGATCGGCAGAGAGTTGAATCCGCGAATTGGATCTTTTGATATCAAATATTTTATAGAGCTCAGGCCTGGGATAACATGTTGGACAATTATCAACATAGCTATGGCTGTTAAACAGTACAAGGAGCTTGGATATGTCACGGCAGCAATGTACTTGGTTATAATTTTTCAAGGATTGTATGCTGTCGACTCGGTATACAATGAGGTAATCACGCGAGCACCGATAAAAGTAATGAGAAGGGATTTATTTTAAAATTTTCGTTTTTCTTTACCGTTATCAATGCTTCCCATGCGACCATGTAATAGCCAGCCGTGCTAACTACGATGGATATAACATCCGATGGATTTGGCTTCATGTTGTCTTTCGGAAATCTCTCATGGGTTGGATTTTTATACGCACTGCAAAGCAGATACCTCTCATTGCGTCCAGTTCATCTTTCTTGGCCATGGATTTTATTTATTATCTGTCTTCACTCTATTGGGTATTATATATTTAGAAGTTCCAATAATGAAAAAAATATTTTTCGAAATAATCCTGACGATCCGAAAGTTAAACGTAAGTTGTTATATTTATGAATTTTCAGTTATCAATTCTATTACACACAACATCAATACTAAAAAATATTTGTCAATTAATATAAGATTTGAAATACATAAAAACAAAAGCGGGTTCCCGTCTGATTGTCTCAGGGTGGTGGGGCAAAGCCAGGCATATAAATTATTTTGGTTTGTCGTATTTATAAATTTAATTCTCTCTGACAGCATTAAGTGATTCGTTAAAACAATAACATGATAAATTCTTGTTTCAATCAGGGGATTGGCTTATGGCATGGGCATGGTGCTTGCCTTGCGGTAGGTTCAGGATCGATTGTTAACCGAAAGGTTATCTTTATTGCCTGTCACTTCTTTTACGTATTTTCCGCCTTTATAATGCGCATGTTTCTCTTTAATAACTGTCATTACATATTTGCGATAGGTTTTGACGACATGTTTCCTTATTTCTATATAATATATTTTACCGTATTGCTAGTCCACCGAGAATTGAGAGATGAAGAGAAATGTAGAAAGAAGTATAAAAAAGATTGGGACAAATACTGTAACATGGTAAAATGGAGAATTATACCTGGTGAGTTAGAATCCTATTCATGTTACTATACTGTCTCTGTCGCGATCGTTTTAGAATTATATGTAATTCGGTCGTTTTACCAAATGGCTCACGTTTTTATTCGTAGGAATTTATTGATACGTAACTTGTAGACCATTTGTAGAGTCTTCGTCTTTCATTATTTCTTGTTCGTCCGGTCACTCATTTATTGATTGTATCTTTGCAATTTGTTCTGAAAGAATTTGGATGATAAATATTTATCGACTACATAGAAGTATCACATTATTTTAAGAAACCCATTTTATCAAGTACTTTGGGATTTATAGCTGACAACAAGGTAAATTAATGAGATGATATTACGATTTATAAATCGAAATATATAATATGTAATAAATCAATATCTTATGCTTTTTAAAAGCTAACGATTTTATTTGGATTAATTTGCTCGGTTAAGTTAAAAAAAAAAAAATATAATTTTTTTTGAAGAAACAGTTTCTTAAAATAATTACTACCATTAGCAAATACATATGTAAAGTTATATTTGTAATCGATCAATTTCTTCAACAGTTATAAGTTTTTGTCTTTTCCGCGATTGTGTCAAAAACAATCACCAAATCAAGTATGAATATTGTGATCGGTCAATTGTTACGCGTATATGATTTGATATTCTAGATATTTGATGTTTTGGATTCTATGCATCACGAACAAATTCGATAATACCTGATCATTGATAACTTACACAAAATATTTGATACTGATGATGGATGTTTGTCGATTTTTCGTTGTTTCCAAGATATAAGAGTCTAGCCTATCTCAATTTTCAACGAACAACTTTACAATTAGAAAAAATGTCCCAAATCGCATTCTCAAAATTAAACCTCTCGATATGTCTCTTCTGCGTTTTCTCTGCCGTTCTCATAAGATCAGCGCCGATTAAAGATGTAGGAATAAATTCTGACCTCAATGGTGATGCTTACGTCAAACGTCGTGACGCTCCAACCAAACGAGATGTTCCTCTAGGTTTAACTGAACGCGGGACTCCTCAAAAACATTCTCTTTTCCCATTTGTTACGGGCGGCACTCGTAATAACATGGAATTATGCAGTAGTTATCATACTGGTGGTCCGTTTGGATCCAGTACCAATGCCAACGCTGCTGTCAATAGTGCATTCGGTACTTCAAATTCGAATTTTATTTGAATTTTCGCAAAAACCATGCAAAACTTCTATATGTAGAATTGATTAGGTCACTTAGTCACTTATTTAACATTTATACCTTTTACGAATTTCATTTGGTTCGATATTCGATCGTTCACAAATTCACAAATGAACGGATTTCACCGATTTCCGAATCAAAAATAACTGTCTCTTTTAAGAACTGCGCTTCACAAAAATTTAATGACACAGTTATTCTTATAATATTATCATTCAATATTTAAATCATAAAAAAAATATTTATTATAAAACATTGGAATAATTTATTATAATTGATTATTTTACAATTTGTTATTATTAGGAGTACTTTTTATAACATTTAAATTATCATTTTAAATTATCGATTCTAGGCAATTCGAAGTAATAAACTTTTAAGACAAATAAAATTTATAATAATAATAATAATAATAAAAGATTATTTTTATAATTTATTTATTAAATATAAATATTTAGTTTATACAGGTAAAAAAATATTATTGGATAAGTTAAAATAGTTTAATTTCAAGAAACCGCTTAAAATTTCGAAATATAAAATTTTTTTAATAAAATTAATAAATCTACTATTTTTTTTTTATAAGCTGGCTTGGCCGAGTTTATTAGCGAAGTTTAACATGCAGATACATCTAATCAAAAGAAAAACAGTAAGAAGCTAGTAAACTAATGATAGGTTAGAACCACTTCATGGCTAAGCCATCTCCAGACAGAGATCTAATGAAGGACCATTAGGGCGATAAAAATTTCTTGAGGATGGTGTGTGTAATGAATCTATGTCTGCTACAGACCATCTGGTCTGTTTTACTAATGTGTTCGATACCCTACTCTGCTATCTCTATTTGGATAAGAAGAATGAAGCTAAAACTGTACAAACTTAAACAGGGGTGAAGATTCTGCATTACAAAAAAGGCACCGGAAGGAGGAGGGGAAATGGTTTGGTTATGGGCATCTTGGAGGCACGCTACTACTACCATATTGATACCATGGACTGATTACTCTTCGAGGGCTTCATCAGTTCAGGGTGCAGTGCCTGTTCCTCCACTGCTTTCAGTATCTCCATGTTGTGGTCCTTATCTGCCAGTTCTTGCCTTTTCCTTCCATACCCTATTCAATATGGGATCTTTTACAGATGTTCTTCTGGGTGATGATAAGTTGGGGGTTTCGAAGGGCTTTAGGACATGGGAAGAGATGAATATGTACTGAGAAGTTAGGGGCCTATCGTCTAACAATCTGTCCTTCTTTACCATTGCGATAACTCCAGCCTAGAAAGGAAAATCTTGGTACTTCTAGCGTGCGCCTTGTTGGACTTGATAAATATCATACTGTTTTTCCCAAAGTACTACCATCTGTAGAGATTGAGCCATTGTCCTATGTCCCATTATGGTGTATTCTTCAGCCACTGGAGGATCATTCAACTGCATGTTGGTGTTGTTGATTAGGTGCATATAATCCTAAGATCTTTCTGATCTCCCAATATTCATGCTGATAAAGAATAGACATGGCACTTTTAAGGCATCGTCCTCGTTCTGTATTCCTTTGAGTCTAATCTTCTTTCTTCTTTTATAATAGAGAAGGAGGGAGGGGTATGTTCTTTCTCTTTCACTTAGTCAAAGATGTAGGAGTAGACAGTGTTCATTATTTACCTGCACCAACACAATAACTCATGGTGAATCTCAGGTTCTTATGGAGCTGAGGAAATGTATTTGAACACATGAAGTGACCAATAAAAGCTTGTTTACTTCTTTTTACTAATGTGAGCTCTGTTTGCCCAATCACGGTATGAGAAACTTTGTGCTACTCAAAATTCAGGGTCAAACTGAGGTCAGCAAAATTCTCCAGAAAAAATAAAAAATGAGCACTATGAGAAGCAGAAACTTGACAAGAGAGTGAAAAAGTTGTCTCTCATCATAACAACACTTCTGTAGTGTTTCTCTACTATGTGAGATAGTGGCACATTAGTTTTTTTCCTTTTAGAACTTTCTTGCCATGGGTAGGAAAGGTGTTTCTTGACCTTTAAGGTTACTAGAGGTCAAGTTTTTGTTTGAAGAGGATAGTAAGCAAGAGGGAGAAGGTGGTGTATAACTCTTAAAACTTCTTCAAGTTGGTTTAGAGAAAGTAATAAGACTTTATTAGCCTAAAAGTATGAAAAACTTCTTGTGAACATCTTTTTTGTGTGTGGTCAGAGGATCAGCGGAAAGAGTTATGAATGTTATATTTCAGGGAGCTATATACAGTATAGTGAGAATAGTTAGTATTTTAGCCCTGATTTCTGATGGCCATGTGAAAGCTCCTACTGAGAACTGTTTAACTATTTTGTCTTTCTCTATCATAATCCAAGCTAAACCCATTTTGAATTTATAATCTGTTATTCCTTTTTTATAAGAGTCATTTATGTAGAATATAAGCTGATTAGTCATATTCCTTTTGGTATATCTCAAGATACTTTTAAGTTTGTCTCCATGTTCTTCTATTTGTATGGCTTTTTCTATTAGTGTGATATCCCAATCTTCCACTTGAATCTTTACTTCGACTGGTCTGAAAGTTAATAGAGCCACTGTTTACTGATATACATTTGTCTATTAGTTTGTAGAGTTTTCTAGCAGGAGGATTTGTTTTCTTTTTATTAGATTATTATGTCGATTAAGCTGTGGGAAAAAATGGATCAGTGACAGGACTACTTCTAATGGCTGCTCTATACTGTTTGGTTGAAAATGAGTATTATTACTAGTAGAGTCATATACTAGCTGATATAAGGTGAAATAAATTTTATTGTTTATAGATATTGTTTTTCTCCATATATCTGTTGAAGTATTAGCCTGAACTGCCCAGTAAATCTTCCTTCTATCTGAGTTTGTTGGGAATGTCTCAGTTTGCATATTGTAAACTGTTTATTCAAGCCCATGTAGAGAGTTTCATAGGAGATTTTGATTTACTGTTGTTTTTCTTTTACTTTTTTGTACCAGGAGGAAATCAGTCCCTTGCATCTGCTATAGAGGATTTAAACTGTTCTCTATTCCTTAAGTATCATTGTGATAGTATTGATAAGCTGATCTAGAAACATGATCTTGTGTTTTCATAGTAATAGAATGGCTTTTCCATATTCTCTATCCTCTTGTAGTATAAATTTGATTGATAAGATACCTCTCTGATAATCAAATATATTTTTCTATCTCCAACTTTGAAAAGTAATTTGTGTGCTATTTGCTAGAGCCAATGTCATAGCTAACAAGTTTTCTTTTATCAGCTTGGAAGAGTTAATAGAATTGCTTAGAATATTATCTGGCTCTCAACATTTGATTTGACTTTGTTTCAGTCTGATTATGGTAGCAATACTAAAGACCTTGTTATTGTTAAGCTGACAGAAAAGTATAGGTATATGACTTTCTAGTTGTATCTCCCAAATACTTTTGAGACTGTATATTCCTTTGTTGTAATACAACTGTTTGGATTATTCTACAGACTAGAGCCTTGTTCTTGAATACTTTCCTAAACATGACTATGAGATTATTATATGTTTTCTTATTCAGGTGCATGTGTTGTATTCTATATTCTATTCTTGGAATCAGGACCCTATTGATAACATATTGGGCAAGTTTTTCTGTCAGCTTCTTCTTGATTATTACCCGGACTACTGTCCTAATCTCTGATTTTTTAAGACTGATAGTGTTTTGATTTTTTTGTCTTGGTCCTAACCAGATACTAAGAAATCTAGTCTGGTTCTCTTTGTTGATTTCATAGACTATAGTATTCTCTGTTTCAGCTTGAACAGTTCTGAAGACTTGTGGGTTTCAGTTAATAGTAAGGAGAATTTATTTTTCTGCATTGATCTGAGAATCATTTACTATATATAACTTTTTCACTTCTTCTAGGATCTTTTTTAGATCTTCCTTGGATTTGGCAATTCAGGTTGTGTTATCCATGTAAGCAATTATGGCTTGCCTTAAGGAAAGCCTCATATTCTCTTCAGGTTTATTAAAGTTGGAAAACCATTCTTCTTTTATAGAATAATTCTGGTTGCCATTGTTTTGAATCTTGCATAAAAATAAATCATAGAAGATTCTTTATAATAATAAAAAAATTGTTTCTCCTTGATCTATCCTATTCCTTATTACTATTGGATTAGATAGCCCATTGAGAAGGATGATACTATCACTAGCCAAAAATATTTATTTGACATAATGCCACTCATATAACATTCATCAAAAAACAAATAATTCAGCATATTAATGACATAAATAAATCATCAATCAATTCCTACCATATAATTCAGTATATAATTCAGTATAAATAAATTGTCAATCAATTTCTACTATATAATTCGACATATAATTTAAATTGTCAATCAATTTCTACTATATAATTTGGCATTATTTACCATGTTTGCACCATTTTTACTATATATTTCGTTAAATTTTTTCTCAAAAAATCATTAGACATTCATCAAAATTTTAATTTTTGTCAAAATTCATGCATTTGTTGAATTTTTAATTATATATTATATTTATAATTTAGAAGAATTATAGCTAAATATATGCGAGAGTCTTGCCGATTTGAGGTTTTATATCTAAATAGAATAAATTGATCAAAAATATTATTAATAGGGATTATGCATTCATGTCTAACTGGGTAAAATTCAATACTCCACAATTCAACATTTGTGTCATTTTTGAATCTGAAATAAAATCCATTTTTTGTCAAATTAACTGGTTTGTATTACTAAATAAAGGTCAAATAACGTTCAATAACATTATTTGGAAAGTTTACCAAATGTGTAAAGAAGAATTGAACATGTCTCAGATATAAATCAACACTTCTATCATGATTCACGAATCTAGCTAATATAAATGAGCCCTTAATATTTTGTGAGGATATAATAGAATCAAATATTTCACTCCCAATTCGGCATCTACTATATTGATCTGCTCTATTTTGAATAATTATCGAATTTTCATTATCCTTCATAAA